GGAATGCTGGCGCGCATAAAGCTTGTTGTTGGTCCTAGGTCATGTTAGGACAGCTTGCTGGTGCTGGGTTGACACAGCTGGTTCCTTCTATCTTCTTTAAACCTTTGACTGATCCGGGGTTTTTTGGACCTGAAGTGCACCTCCTTAAATAAGGAATTTTGCCAATGACATCAGTAAGAGCAGGCAAGAGAGGTATTAGTGTGTGCAAGATTTTTCAGGAAGGCTGAGCAGTGAAGGAAGAAGTGTATAAATCATACTCTGCTGTATTAGAAGTAAAACTTCCTTGATCCATGTCCCACTTTTGTAAGTACATTAACATGCTGAGAAGCTCCAGAGCTTCCATGAACCGGTGTCTTTTCTCCCACTCTGGGTGTATGAATAATCTTCTATGGAATTATGGCCCAGTCCTGCAACGAAGTCTGCATGGATAAAATCAGGGATCAAATCACTAAATTAGAAAGTTTCTCATGTCTCTCATCAAAAAGGGTTTAACACTTTATAACAATAGTAATAAAAAGTCCTTTGCCTGAGGATGCAGTCTGTAAAGTTGATCAGCTTGCCATGTCTAATTCGACATTACTGCTTTTCCTTATGTATTTTCTGATTAAAAGGACCTATATTGGAAATTAATGCCTCTACCTGTATCTTAATTATAAAAGTGAATCTGAAGAGTTTATACTTCCTTACTAGTATGTGTTTAATTAACTACTGCTACTGCTTGGTCAAGGAAAATCCATTATGTTAGCCATGAAAGTAATTGTTTCCTTTCTTGGGTAAACTCTATGAGGAGAAAAGAATTTGCTCGACTGTAGTTAAATATATTTTTCTTTTAATTGGTGACACTTTTAATAATTGGAGCAGTTTTTTAATAGGTGCATCTTTCATGCCTTTTTTTGACTAACGTTGTACTTAATCCTTTAACATTTTGTGTTCACTCCTGTTTCATGCCAATTCACTGTGAACAATGAAACATTGCTTCGGCAGAATACAGCTTTTGTTGCGGCATACCTTGAGGAGTATTAAATATGGTTCTTCGTGAAATGTTGCCATTCTGTTTGCAGTTGTTTTTTGATTCAATTACAGTAGCTCCAGAAATAGCCTGCCCTGTTTGCAGTCACGCTGCGGTCTTTAAAATATTCAGCATAGACGTGGCTCTGAATGCAGCAGGGAAAACTACAGACTCGTTAGTTGAGAAACGACAGAGGTAGCCGTGGGAGTTGCAAATACCTGATTATCTCGGTGACATTAGTTTATGTCCAGATCTGCTGACTGTAGGAGCTCACAGATACACCCGTGGTCTGAACTGTCCGAGCAGCCATC